TTTCGGAATATTTCCTTATCGCTTCGTGCGGCCGCCGCCATAGCACTTTGCCTAGGGTTTTTATGGGTGTAGGTCCTTTAGGATCTTAGCTCATCTCATTAAAGAAGGACTGCCTCGGCCCAACACGAAGAAAAGCGGTTCGGCCCATTCTTCCTCTTGCTCAGCTCGGCTTGGCCCATTTATCTTCTTCCACGGCTAGGCCCACTCATCTTGGTGAGCACAGCTCAGCCCACTTGTTTTGTGGGACGGCTCAGCCCATATTCGGCGGGCAGCTGTTCCTTCTTGCCAAATCGGTTTTCTCCAGTACTTAATCATTTTTGAGATGGTTTTATCCGCTTGGGGTGAAACCGACCCCAACAATAGAGAGTGCAACATCCTTCTACACTTACGTTAACTGTGGTTTGGCCTTGTGGCATCATCGAATGGGGCGCCCTTCATCTCAAGTTACCAACATGATCCCTGAGATTCATAGTTTTTGATTTAGTAGTCGTAATGGATTTTATTTTAAGAACTGTGACATTTGTCTGCGAGCTAAACAGACACGTCAACCTTTTCTAGATAGTTCTAACAAAGCAAAAGCAGCGTTTGATTTAATTCATTGCGATTTATGGGTACCTTACTGAACAACTGTGTTTTGTGGCTCACACTATTTTCTGACGATTGTTGATGATTATTCACGGGTTATTTGGCTATATCTCCTTCGCGATAAAACCTTAGTCTCTCACCAGATTCGAGATTGATTGAAAGACAATTATCTACAAAAGTAAAACGAATCCGCAGTGACAACTGATAAACTTTTTGGTCATGCTCCGGGATACAAACACTTGCGTGTATTTGGCTGCTTGGCACACACACACAATATAGACCATAAAGGCGATAAATTCACTTCTCGTAGTCGACGCTGTGTTTTTCTGGGTTATCCATATGAGAAGAAAGGTTGGAGATTATACGATTTTGATCGAGAGGTGATATTTGTTTCGCGAGATGTGGTTTTCCAGGAAGACAGTTTCCCTTTCTCTAAACCGGTTACTACTTTGACACCAGATCCTTCCCTTGTTTTACCTCCGATACATCTTTCCCCTGAAAATGAAGATGACGTTCAGGACATCAGTGACCCTGTCATTCTACTAAGTCCAATACAGGAAGTGACTGCGATTCCTGTTCCCGAAACTTACCACACTGAACCTCCTCCGCCGGTTTCTGATGAAAATCTAGGTAGAGGACATCGTATACGGATCCCCTCTACACGTCTTCATGGGTTTGAAGTTGGTTCTGCTTCCATCCCTCCTCTCTCTCTCTCTCTACACCGTCACTCGCTCCTCAGCCATCCTCAGGTCATCTTTATCCTCTATGTAACTTTGTCTCATATAACAAGATTTCTGATAATCATCGCAGCTTCTTAATGGCATTGACGGCAAACATTGAACCCCGTTCATACGCGGAGGCCATACGAGACAAACATTGGGAGAAAGCAGTTGATTGTGAACTTGATTTTCTAGAGAAACTCAAGACATGGAGACTTGAACACTTACCACCCAGAAAGAAGGCTCTGGACTGTAAATGGGTGTTCACCATCAAGTACCGGACGGAACCATTGAACGTCATAAAGCTAGACTAGTGGTTCTGGGTAACCATCAGAAAGAAGGATTCGATTACAACGAAACCTTTGCACCAGTGGCTAAGATGACTACAGTCCGTGTTTTTCTTGACCTTGCCGCCAAACTGAATCATGAGATCCATCAGATGGACGTATATATGAAGCTACCACCGGGATTGCGATCAGCTGGAGAGACTCGTTTTTGTCGTCTCCAAAAATCCTTATATGGTTTAAAACAAGCTTCTCGCTGATGGTTTGCCAAATTATCTGAAGCTTTAGAGACGTATGGTTTCACGCACACTTACTCCGATTATTCTTTGTTTGTTTACAACAAGAATGGCACGTTTCTTCGTATTCTGGTGTATGTCGATGACATCATCATATCTGGCAACTCTCCTGAAGTCATTGAAACATTCAAGAACTATCTTTCCACATGATTCCACATGAAAGATCTAGGATTTGCCAAGTATTTCCTCGGTTTGGAAATTGCACGGAGTCCTTTGGGTATATATCTTTGTCAGCGGAAATACGCTTTATACATTGTCACAGAAGCAGGTCTTCTTAGATGTAAACTAGCGGGATCCCCTATCGATCAGAACCACACTCTTGGCCGAGCTACAAGTGCTCTACTTGCAGATCCGGAAACATATAGGCGCTTGGTAGGACGCCTTATATACCTGGGTGCTACACGACCGGACCTCTCATATTCGATTCACATTCTATCACAGTTCATGCAAGCTCCTTGTGTAGATCATTGGCATGCTGCCTTGAAGGTTGTATGCTATTTAAAAGGGACAGCAGGTCAAGGTATTCTCCTCCGGGCAGATACACCTTTTCATGTACGTGGTTGGTGTGATTCAGATTGGACGGGTTGTCCTTTAACTTGTCGATCACTTACTGCGTGGTTCATTCAACTTGGTGATTTTCCGATTTCTTGGGTAACACGTAAGCAAGATACTGTTGCACGTTCCTCTACTGAAGCCGAATATCGCACGATGGCTGATCTTACTTCAGAGTTGAAATACATCAAAGCCTTACTTCTCGAGCATGGTGTTTCGCATGATGATCCGATGTCCATGATGTGTGATAGTAAACCTGCTATTCACATTAGCGCAAATTCTGTTTTTCATGAACGGACTAAGAATGTGGAAGCTGACTGTCATTTTGTTCGCAATGATAGTGTCAAAGGGACTGTTAAACCATTTCACGTTTCGATGAAAGACTAACTTGCTGACATTTTTACGAACTTACACACTCCAACTTGAAGGGGGGGAGTATTAGGAAGTTCTAGAATTAAGAAAATATCACTTTGTCCCACATCGTGTATTTATGTTTCTTAGGTCCATATCTTTTTGTATATAAGCACAAAATTGGTGCAGTTAATAAACCAAATCAAAATTTCATAGATCTAAAAGTTTGTCATAAAGACCTCTATATAAGCGTAGTTTCGTTCTCATTGTAAACGACCAATTTTTGGCAAATTAACACATTTTCTTTTCAAAGAAATGTCTTTCAATTTGTTCTTGTCATTTGAGTTAAGTGTGTGATTCACTTGTTTCTTTGATTGTATATCAGATTGTTTTTGTGAAACAAACTGTATTGTTCATGTGTTTGTTTGAGAGATTCAAACAACAATCCTCTCTTGATCATTGGATGATAACAAAAAGTAGAAAGAGAAGATAGAAAATGTTGGAGGAAAATATTCTCTCATTAGTTTTTGAAAATAGGCAGTACAAGGAGAGTGACGCACTGCAACGGTCTAAACATGTAACCGGTTGTACAAAACCATAAATATAAAATCAAACCAGTTTGATTTAAACCAACATTAACCAACTTATTTGCAATATGAAAGATAGAGATAACTAAAGAGGAGAATCATCTATTATATTAAAACAGAAGCACATTTAGTACTTGCTTCCAAACACTCCTAATTTTTTTTAAGTGTTTAATTTCGAAAATTAATTATTAATTTAAATATTTTTAGAATTCCTTAAATATAGGTAATTTAGATTTGATTTGATTTGATTAAAAATAATAAATCAGATATTAATTTAGATTTGATTTAAAGATTCTAATTTATATAATTTCTATACTATTAAACATTTTTATCAAAAATATCTAGAATTTTCGAAAAAAAAAATTTACATATAAAAAATAATAGTCATATTTGAAATATAAAATATTTATAATGATGTAAATGATATGATATTTATGTTGCTTATATAATATATTTATGATTATGATTTATTTACAAATTAATAATAAAATAATAGGTAAAATTCAAATGTATAATTTAAATATTAAAAATATATTTTTTAAAAATTCATAGAACTAAAAATATATATAAAAAACCGGGTTAAAAATATTTTGGTAACTAAAATCACTAATTTTGAATTATACATGTATATCGAAAATATATTTTTCATACAAAATCAAAACATAAAAAAATTAAAAATAAATGCATACACTATAATGTGGTTTGAAAAACCAGTTGTACACTCCCTTCGTTGATTAAATTTTAGAAAACTATAATGCTAAATAATACTGTTAATACATCTCAAACTTTTAACAAATATTTATATTATACGGTAATATGAACGGAAAAGTTAGAATTATGTTTTTATAATAGTTCATTTTGAATTAATATTAGTGGACGGGTTAAAATTATATTTTTATAATCATAATTAATTTTAATACTATAAAAATATATCTAAACACAAAAATCAATATTTTCACTTATTAAAAAGTATATTTATAAAAATAATTATATCTAAACTCAAAAACACAAATTATATTACAAAATTCGTTAAACAATAAAAATATTCTTGTGCAGATGCACGGGGTTAGAATCTAGTGTACATTAAAAGGCTCAAAAATCCGGTAACCAATATTCCGACTTCAAGCTAGAGCTTTGTCTCGTTGGGGCGGATATTGATATGCCCACAAAGAGCTTATAATCGAAGAAGGATCTCTAAAGCAAAAACAAGGGGAACTCAACAAAAAGTGTTGACCATTGTGGTTAGCTCGCAAAAAGGGAAGGAAGCAAGAGGTTTTGCTGTTATACTATACAAGACGAAAATATAAAAACAATTTTTCTTCCTTATTTTGGTTTTATGCTTTTATTGTTGTTAAAGTTGTAAAGCGTTATGCGCTTAACAATGGTGATGATCAAGATGAAATCGTAGGGGTGAGAGTGAGATTATTCTGTGAGGAAGAGTTCTTATTTATTTCTTTAATTGTCTCGTTTTCTTAATTCACTGGTTATCATCAATAGAAGAAAATTTAAAGAAGTTGGGGGAGTTCGAACATAACATTCTTCACAGAGAAGAGTTTAGTTTGTCATCGAAATCGAGTAGACAGATTTAATGATGTGTGACATCGAGATAAATAATCTTATGGTCTGTATCGATCTTCTGAGTCATGGAAAGAGAATTGCAATGAATCCTTGATGGTAAGAGTTTCTCCACAGCTATCTGTTTCATACTTTCAAAGTTTTGTAAGCTGAGCTGAGAAACACAAAAAAATACAACATGATTATTCCAACCGCAGATCTCCATGTATTAGAAGCTTGACATGTTCCTTTGGAGTCTCCACAGTAAATATATAGCTACTGTGTGGCTTGGGTTTGGCTACTTTGTCATCAAGTTTTTTGGCTTTCCCTGCGAGTGAAATAAGATCTATTCAGCTCCAATATACGGGGTATTTGTTGATCTACAAGAAAATTAAACAGTCAAATGTATATAGATTCACGAGAAATAATATGAAAATACCAGTGTATTTCGTTTTCCCTGTTTTTTTTTTTTTCTGCAAGTCAAGTCTATTTGATTCATCTCTGAACGATTCAACTTTTTTTTGCACTTCCCTCATCTCACAAGCATAAACTGATCTTCCACATTATCCTTTCGCTAAACCACTCTGCGCAAAAAGAAAACAGATCATCTCTCATATAAGGATATGCGATCACAAAACAAACCAAGGTCCACAAGTGTATAATGTATTGCTTATATTTCTGCGTAAGACCGGCCTTATTTTATTGCAGTACCTATGACAATGAAAAACTGAGACCGTTTTCCGAGGGAATGAAAAAACTGAGGATTAAGAATTATTAACTGAATGTAACATGCTTCAAGAATTCAGATTTTTCCTCCCGTTTAGTTATGGCATTGAGTAAATAACCATCTGCTCGATAAGCTGATTATAATGGAGCAAAGCAGAGCATTTAAACTGACCAGAATAAGCATGGTTGACTCGATCCTTATCATTGTCCACGAACTGCATCCACTGCGACATCATGACCGTTGAGAGAAGAAAGTCAGGAAAGAAGAAGCGCATTTACCTAAACACCCTTCAAAAATCCTCCATTCATGCAGATGCAGATCCAAAGTTTCTTCTCAATGTGCTGAATTCTACTTTTTGCCTCCAAAAGTGATACACACCATCTACAATATTCTCAGTCAAAACTTTGCCAGATAGGGATCCCATGAAAACTTTTTTCGATGAATACGCTAAACCAGGTCATTCTCAAGAACAGTAGCTAAGAGACCTGATACTACCACTTGGATCTGGAAGCTACATGCTGATGCTCACGATTTTGATAGTCATATCAGTGACTTAGAGGAAATCTCTCGAAAGATATTTAGTGCAGATCACCAAAATCACACTTGACCTTCCAAAAATGCGCTCATTCTAACCCTTTATTTCCCGCAATTGAAATCTCTTGGCCTTCCAAGTACCACGCCTAACAGCAAGCATTAAAAGTTCAGCCGACGAAATATCCTTTCTTGACAATTGGGTAACAAGTCTTACTGCCTTATCCATGTATCCTTTGCGACAATAACTAGATATTAGAGCCGTGCAAGTCACCATATCAGGCTTGAGCCCACTGTCTATCATTTGATCAAAAAGTCTTGTGGCGTTTTTTAGGTTCTGAATCTTGCACTGGCGATCTATCAAAACAGTATAGCATACAACGTCTGGCTCAATACCAGCAGCTTCTAATTCTCTCCAAATTTCTGAAGCTTTCCGTTTTTGCACTTCTCCTCTAACATAACCTGTTTCATGATGGTCTGGATCCAACTTCTGATGACTATCAAGCAACACTGTGTATATTACCACATCAGGTTTTATTCCTCTCTGCTTCATGTCCTCGAAAAGAAACTCAGCTTTCTGCAACTCATTTAGCCTACAGTATGTGTGAATCATGATTGTATAAGTAAACAGATCAGGGATGAGTCCTCTACTGACCATTGTGTCAAATACCAGCTGGGCTTCCCTCGCATTATTTAACTCACAAAACTTCCCAATCATTTTACCATACATCCACCTCCCAGGTTCAACTCCATAAGCCCACATTCTTTTAAGTACGACAAGAGCTTTGTCGAGACAACCCTCGATGCAGAGACTTGTGAATAGCTTGAAGTACACACTCTTGCGCAGAGGGAAATTTTGATCAATGAATAGTCTAAAGGCCTGTTTAGAAAGGCCAGAATCACAATAACCTTTCACCAAACTGGCATAATTATCTGGGCATTTGTCTTCCAGACTCTCGAAGAAATTTTCGGCATCCTCTATTTTACGAGCAAAACACAAGCCTTCAATGATCACATTGTGTGTGACAGCATTGGGCTCTAGACCCTCATCTTTCATACATTTATAAATTTCAAATGCCTCTTTAGCATGACCATTCCTGGCGAGTCCACCGGCAAGCACGTTGTATGTAATTACATCTGGAGCGGTACCATTTGCTCTCATTTTGTCAATCAAATCAAGGGCATCAACAAATTTACCGTGAAGGCAGTAGCCATCTATCAGAGTTGTGTAGTTGATCACATCAGGAACCATTCCTTTATTCATCATTTCTTGGAGCAACTCAACAGCTTCTTCCACTCTGTCAAGCTTGCTCAGAGCTTCAAATGCAACATTGTAACAAACCTTGTCAAGGAAAATATTCATGTCTTTGAATTCTTTGAACTTCTGTAAAGCTCCCAACAACAATTCATTCGTATTGATCTTCATGTCTTTATATTCTTTGAACTGTTGTAATGCTTCGAAACACTTGCCCATCTTACAATAGCACTGAAGGATTGAACTTACAATCACACAATTGATTTTGAGTCCTTTTTCCAACATAGCATCTACAAACCCCAAAGCTTTAGGTAAATCCATGTTCTTGCAGTGTCGATCAATTATTGCTAAGCAGGCATTAACATCAGGACCGATCCCAGTTTCCTCCATTCTAAAAATAACTTCTTCGGCGGCTTCTGTTTTCATCTCATTACAGAAACCACGGACCACCATGTTATATGCAAATCCAAGTTCATCACCAGCCAGAGCTTTCGCATCTATCAGATCACTGATCAGAGCAACACCCGCTTCTGTCTTCCCATTTACACAAAGCCCTTCGATGAAAGTCGTATAAGCAAACACGCTCGTAGTTTCCCCAAGCAACTTAGCTGCTCCATCTAAATCGCCTTCTCTACACAATGCCTTAACCACAATTGCATAAGTGTAGTCATTTGCACACAAACCAATCTGCATAAGTTGCCGAAAAAGCGCCAGTACCATATCGTTTTTGCCAAACTCAATCAAACGATTCATCAAGAAATTGCAGGACTTAATTCCCGGGACACAACCAAGACGATAACTCTGGAACAAAACATCGATAGCTTCGTCAAACATCCCAAGACTAACATAAGCTTTTACCAAGGCACTAGAGACTCGAACCAAGAGCAAGTACCGTTTATCCTCAGCAGCATCCTCTCCAATGGCTTCTATCAAATCCATTACACAGAAACTACGCTCCTCGTTCCCGATTAGTTCAACTAACACCGAATCTAACTTCCTGTCCAAACCCCAACCAGAGAGAATCTTGACAACAGTTGCGTATGCATTAACATTAAGAGATACCCCATTTTGTTTAAGCTGTCCTAAAAACGAGAAGGCGAGATTTGGGTCATCCCTGACACTATCCAGGACACGAAGAACGCCAAACTCATTGGAATTGGAGAAATTCGAATCAAAGTTACCGACTTTAAGGTGATTATTCACCTGTTGTTCAGAGTCTGAGAGATTTGGGTTAAGAGCAGAGATGGTGTAGTAACGCGAAGACGCTGCTGCTGCTCTCCGAGCCAATCTCAAATGTGAGCGTAATAGAGTTGCAGAAAACGGCATCAAAATGAGAATTTGGGTTTTGCAGAAGGAAAACAGTCTAATCGGAAAAGAGAGAGAACCGACGGTTATGGCAAATAGCTTCAGAGGATTGTGGAAATAATCTAAAACCCTAAACCCAATTCACACAATTTGCTCTCCTTCTGCCGGGTTTGGGTAAAAAGGACAAATTACTATTGACCAAAGCGTCGACTTTTTGTAAGGGTTCTTGAAAGGTTCAAACTTTCTAACTTTTCCGACCATATGTGATGTCTCCAAAACCCCAAATACTCGTTTTTCCATATATGTTTTAGCCTTTTTTTAGGAGATGAACACTTGGTAAAAAGAAAGAGTTATTGCGGGAAAACGGCCTATTCCTCCACGAACTTTATGCCTTCTGAAAATCCATACACGAACTATTGAACCATGCTTATAATTACATGAAATATTAAAATGCGGCCAATTTCACCAAAACCGTAAACGGTGTTAATTTTCCGTCAATAATTAATGACATGGCTGACACGTGGCATACCGGTTGTCGATTTTTTTTATTTATTTCAGGGATCAAAACGATGTCGTTTTGATATTTCTCTTAAAAAATGCATTCAATAAGACTTGAACACATGACCTTCCAAGTAAGGGGTTTACCACCAAACCAACTGAACTAAAGACATTTATAAATTTTAATAAAGTAAAAATATTTATATTGATATCCAACTGAGATTAACATCATCCTTGGTTGATAATCTGTGTCACCTAATCCTCCCTTACTTCACTCCGACTTATAGAGTCGTCATCTACGACTTAGTTTGCACCAGGATTGACGTTGCCGGTGCTAATCTTGGATCAAAGCAGATCCCAAATCAGATCTCGGATACCAAATAATAATTCTAGCCTTAGCCGGTGAAAACTTAGTCGTAGAGGACGACTCTGTAAGTCGGAGTGAAGTAAGGGAGGATTAGGTATCACAGATTATCAACCAAGGATGATGTTGATCTCAGTTGGAT